TACAGGCACGCACCACCATGCCCAGCTAATTTTTTGTATTTTCAGTAGAGACGGGGTTTCACCATGTTGACCAGGATGGTCTTGATCTCTTGACCTCGTGATCCACCCGCCTCGGCCTCCCAAACTGCTGGGATTACAGGCATGAGCCATCGTGCCCGGCCTAGATTATGGTTTTAATTTTCATTGAAATTTTAGATTCAAGGGGCACATGTACAGGTTTATTATATGGATATATCGTGTGCTGCTGAAATTTGGATTTCTAATGATCCTTTTGCCCAAGTAGTGAACACTGTAACCAGTAGGTATTTTTTCAAGCCTTTCTCCTCTCTCTTGCTCCCCCTTTTTGGGATCGCCAGTGTCTGCTGTCCCCATCTTTATGTACATTTTTACCCAATGTTTTGCTCCCACTTATAAGTGAAGACATGCAGTATTTGGTTTTCTGTTTCTGCATTAGTTTGCTCAAGATAATGGCCTCCAGCTGCATCTATGTTACTGCAAAGAGTGTGATTTCACTCATATTCTGTGTAGTATTCCATGGTATGTATGTATGTACCACATTTTCTTTCTTATTTCTTTCTTTCTCTGTTTTTCTTTCTTTTCCTTCCTTCCTTCTTCCTTCCTTCTTTTCTTTCTTTTCCTTTCTTTTTTTGAGACAGAGTTTCACTCTTGTCACCCAGGCTGGAGTGCAGTGGGACGATCTTGACTCACTGCAACCACTGCTTCCCAGGTTCAAGTGATTCTCCTGCCTCAGCCTCCTGAATAGCTGGGATTACAGATGCCCACCACCACACCTGGCTAATTTTTTTTATTTTTTGTAGAGACAGGTTTTCACCATGTTGGCCAGGCTGGTCTCGAACTCCTGACCTCAGTGATGCACCCGTCTTGGCCTCCCAAACTGCTAGGATTGCAGGTGTGAGCCACTGTGCCTGGCCACCACATTTTCCTTATCCAGTCAGCCATTAATGGGCACCTGGGTTGATTCCATGTCTTTGCTGTTGTGAACAGTGCTGTGATAAATATAGGATGCAGATGTCATTTTGTAGAATGATTTCTTTTCCTCTGGGTATATACCTAGTAATGTGATTGCTGGGTCAAAAGGTGTAATTCTAGTTTTAGTTCTTTGAGAAATCTCCAAACTGCTTTCCACAGGGGCTGAACTGATTTGTATTCCCATAAATAGTGTATAAGCATTCCCTTTTTTTCACAACCTTGCCAACATCTGTTATTTTTTTTACTTTTCAATAGCCATTCTTACTGGTGTGAGCTGATATCTCATGTGGTTTTTTATTTGCATCTCTCTAATGACTGATCGTAAGCATTTTTTCATGCTTATTGGCTGCTTGTATGTCTTCTGAGAAGTATCTGTTCATGTCTGTTGCTCACAACAGTAGTTGTATTAGTTTTAAAGTAATTGTTTTTTTCTTGCTGATTTAAGTTCCTTATAGATTCTGGATATTAGTCCTTGGTCAGACGTGTAGTGTGCAAATATTTGCTCCCCTTCTGTAAGTTGTCTGTTAACTGTGTTGATAATTTATTTTGCTATGCAGAAACTCCTTAGGTTAGCTGGGTCTCAGTTGTCAATTTTTGTTCTTGTTGCATTTGCTTTTGAGGACTTAGTCATAAATTATTTGCCTAAGCCAATATCTAGAAAAGTATTTTCTAGGTTTTCTCCTAGGCTTTTTATAGTTTGAGGTCTTTCAGTTAAGTCTTTAATTCATCTTATTTTTTGTATATGGTGAGAGATAGGGGTCCAGTTTCATTCTTCTGCATATGGTTAGTCAGTTTTCCCAGCACCATGTATTGAACAGGGTATCCTTTCCCCATTATTTATTTTGTCGACTTTGTTCAAGATCAATTGGTTGTAGGTGTGCAGCTTTATTTCAGGGGTCCCTACTCTGTTCCATTGGTCTGTTGTGTCTATTTTTGTACCAGTACCATGCTGTTTTGGTTACTGTTGCCTTGTAGTATAGTTTGAGGTCAGGTAATATGATATCTTACACTTTATGCTTAGGATTGCCTTAGCTATTCTAGCTCTTGTTTCGTTCCATATGAATTTTAAAATAGTTTTTTCTAATTCTGTGAAAAGTGACGTTGGTAATTTTATAGGAATAGTGTTGAATATATATATTGCTTTGGGCAGCATGGACATTTTAATGATATTGATTCTTCCAATCCACAAACATGGATTGCTTTTCTGTTTGTGTCATCTATGATTTCTTTCAGCAGTGTTTTAGTAGGTCTCCTTGGTTAGAAGTAGTCCTAGTTTTGTTTTGGTTTGATTTGGGGTTTTCTCTGGTGGCTGTTATAAATGAGATTATATTCTTGATTTGGTTCTCAGCTTGAATGTTGTTGGTATGTGGAAATGCTTCTGATTTTTGTATGTTGATTTTGCATCCTGAGACTTTGCCAAAATCATTTATGAGGTCTGGAAGTCTTTTGGAGGAATCTTTAGGGTTTTCTAGGTATAGAATCATGTCATCAGCAAAGAGAAAATATGACTTCCCTTTTTCCTATTTGGGTGCCTTTTATTTCTTTCTCTTTCCTGACTGCTCTGGCTAGGACTTCCCTAATTTTCAGTTTTAAAATATAATGCCACATTTTCCTCCCAAAGTTATTGTAACATTTTTACAATAAATGGTTATTACAAGGGTTATTTGTATTCCATATCCTGGCCAGCACTTAGGAGTCAGACTTCAGTTTTTGTCAGTTCAAAGAATATAAAAGAGCATTTCATTGTAGGCTTAACTTGTGGTGTTCTGATTATTGATGTGCATCTATATGTTTACTATGTTTCTCCTTCTTGTAAAAACCCTGTTTTATCTTCATCTTTTTTTTAGGGGGTGGGGTTGGTTGTCTTTTTATATTTATTCATGGAAGCTCTTTATGTATTGTGGATGCTAATTTTGCTAGTTATCTTTTACTGTGTAACATAGCTGGCTGATTTTGGCTCAGGGTTTCTCATGAGATGGCAGTCCAATTGCTGGCTGAGGTTGCAGTATCTTCAAGGCTTTGGGGCTGGAGAGTCCACTTCTAAGATTATCCATGTGGTTGCTGGTAAGCCTCTGTTACTTGCTGGCTGTTGGCTAGAGGCTTCAATTCCTTGCCATGTGAATCCCTCCGTAGGGATACTCATAAGGTGGCATCTTGCTTTCCCCAGAGTGAGTGATTCAAGATCCAAGACAGAAGTTAGTCTTCTCATAACCTATCTATCTCAGATGCAACATACCATTACTTCCACCCTGTGTGCTTGGTTGCACAAAGCCTGGTACAATGTAGGAGGGAACAACATAGTGAGCACCAGGAGGCAGAGAACATAGGGGGCCATCTTGGAGGCTGCCTACCACACTAATCTGTTGTCCATTTTATGTGTTGCCAATATCTTTTTTTTTCAGGTTGTCTATGATGTCTTTTGAATGGAAGTTCTTCATTTTAATGCAGATTAATCATTATTTTATAGTTAATGCTTTTTCTAACTTAAGAATTCTTGATTCAGAGTAAAAGATATTTTCTTCTAAAAGTATTACGATTTTGCATTTCACATGTAGGTTCTTAACTCATCTAGATTTTATTTTTGTGTGTATGATAAGAGGTAAGAGACCATTTTCCTCCTTTGATTTGCTTAACCAATTGTTCAAGAATTATTTTAAAGTCATCCTTGCCCCCACTGATCAACAGTATCACTCTGTCATGTTAAATTTCTGATAATAGCTTAATTACTGTAGCTTAGTAATGAGCTTTTATATCTGATAGGTACCACCAACCTGGGACCACTGTAAATCAATTTCTTGCTTTTGGATTTTGCTTACTCCAGACGTATATGAGCACAGGCCGTGGTTACAAATCCTCCCCGAATACTATTGTCATTATAATTATTTTCTTCCCGGAGCTGTATGTGAAGACAGTCACGTTTCCTGGCAACCTCCCTTTGCTGGTAGATTTTTTCCATCCTGTTAACAGGGACCCTTTAACGATTCCTGCTTCATGAAGGCATTTTAAGTTTTCCCAAGACAGACTCTTTCATTCATTGAGCTGATGTGATGTTACTCTTTGCCTCTAGGTTCTCATATGGAGTTGATTCAGATTTGCTGTACATTTTTCAGGTGTGGTGGGGGGAGAAGTCTGTTCCTTGGGAATGTCTATCAAGGTTGATCATACACAGGTATGTTTATTAAAATTTATTCAGGATTTACTTATGGTAAGAGGGCTTTCTAAGAGCATCTGAACCACCATATTGCCAGAAGTAGAAATGTGCTTTGGTTTTTAACAAAAAATAACATAATGTGGCTCATTTTTAAAAATGTGGCTTATTTTAAAAAACCATCACAGGGTGATGGTTAAGCTACAGTGTAACTTCTGGAACCAATAAATAATATTTTTTAAAGGCTATTTAACATGGAGAAATTTTCACAGCCAGTTTAAGACAAATATAAAAGTTGATATGGGCCTAATGTTATTTAAACGAGAAGAAGGAAAAATTATTAAATGTTTGACAGTTGGTGGCAGAGTGACAGAATATTTTAAAGTCTTGTATTCCAAATTTTGTACAATAGGAAAAGTTGAGGGGGATACTGATAAACTAGAAAGAAATTAGAAAGTATCCCCTTTGCAAAGTGAGAAACCTAGAAAACCAACCTAGGAAACTCATTGTTGTACTCATCAGCTAGAGGAAAAGATAACAGTTGATTATTTTGAAATATGTGAAGAGATGTTAATCATAAGATCTGGGTGTCCAGTTTGTATAGGGTGCTGTGCTGCACATGGGATTCAATGAGGTAAACTTGGCCTCACTCCACTGCTAGCAAGCACCATGGCTTGAGTTTGAACCCAGATCCCATGGAGCTGTCACTATCACTCTGTCCCAATCCAGAAATCTTAAACTTTTCATACCACTTTCATTAATTTTGGTTTACTATCAGGATACAGTACCTCTGAGACAGCTAAGAGGTAGAATTATTGTACTAAGATGAGTTGTTTAAAATGAAAGAGACTGGATACAACTGTTTCACAAAAAGATATATTTTCATTCATGACTATTTACATTTTTCCTGTTTAAAGAATATCATATAACTGATACCTTCTGAAATGTTTCATGCTTTTAAACTTCTATTTACACTTATCTGACATGGAATTAAAACTAAAATCGTCAAATACCATGATAATAGAAAGCAACCAGCCAACATAGCTAGGTCTTTTCTTGAATGTGCTGATCAACATTAGCAGTAGTTACCTTAATAATAAATTATTTTTTAAAATCAGTAGTAATTTTAGACAATTCATAAATAAGCGTGCTCTGTGCAATTTACACGTTTAATATCCTGTGGATACTAAAAGCTTGTATATTGTCAGGTTTGTACATTATTACTTTATCAAATTTAGCTTTCCCAAAGAAGAAGCTGGGGAAACTTGGAAGATATTCTAAAGATTCTCTGGAGAGTTATCAAAGCTCTGCCTGCTTCACAGGAGGAGGTTCCAATTTACGTGAGAGGGCAGTTAAAATCTGGTTGAATTTCTCATATCTCTCTATCTGATTGACTTGTGCACCTTTGCTGCCCCATAGCAATCGCATTTGGAATTCAGTCTTGCAGATTTCATTCATTTCTTCATCTGGTTGAAAACCTAATCAAAACAAAACAACCAAAAAGTTACTTCAGTTCAGCCTAAAATGTAGTGTTAAATATAGACTGAAAGCTTGCTTAAAGTAGGATAAAGATGAACTTCATCTTTTCTCTCTCAGAACTTTAAAACATGTCCCCAAAGAAAAAGAGAGAATCTATTCTACACAAGGGAGGGCAGAGACCCACCCTGCAGAACGTGAGCACCTTCAGAGAAGAAATAACAGGTAAACTCATTAAAACACGATAGAGTGGCGTTGGTTTGTACAAACCACTGTGGGAATTAGTGCTGTGGGAAGGAAGGTTCATGGTACCTATAGGAGTTTGTTACTTGTTTTTACTAACTTTACTGATGTATAGTTTATACTCATATGATTCACCTGTTTTTGGCTGTGCAGTTTTATGATGGTAAGTTTCTACCTGAACCAGCACCACCAGTTTTAGACTTTTTTACATTTCCATCACCCTCCTACCTCTTTGGAGTCAATTCCTGTTCCTACTGCAGACACCTCAGTCAACCACTGATCTACCTTCTATTGCTACTGTTTTGCCTTTTCTAGAAATTTGGGATAAACTGAATCATCCACTATGGACTCTTTAATGTCTGACTTCTTTCACTTAGCATAATGTTTCTGAGAGTATTACATATGTTGCATATTAATGATTCATTTTTACTGATCAGTAGTATTCAGTTTTATAGAGATCCCACATTTTGTTTATCCGTTCACTTAATTGATGACTTTTAGATGTTTCTAGTTTCTGGCCATTATGAGTAAGTGGTTGTGAACATTTGTTTACAAATCTTGTGTGGACATGTGTTTTCATTTCTCTAGGAAAGGAATTATTGGGTCATATGGTAAGTATATGTTTATTTTTAAGAAACTGTTAAGTGCTATTCCAAAATGGCTGTACCATTTTAGATTCACACCAGCAACATATGAAGATTCCAAGTTTTTCCACATGCTGCCAACCCTTTATCATTTTTGTTTTTTTTGAGAAGGCGTCTTGCTCTGTCACCAAGGCTGGAGTGTAGTGGCTCGACCTGGGCTCACCACAACCTCTGCCTCTCTGGTTCAAGCAGTTCTCCTGCCTCAGCCCCCTGAGTAGCTAGGAGTACAGTTATGTGCCACCACACTCAGCTAATTTTTTGTATTTTTAGTAGAGATGGGGTTCTACCATGTTGGCCAGGCTGGTCTTGAACTTTTGACTTCAGGCGGTCCACCCACCTAAGCCTCCCAAAAAGTGCTGGGATTACAGACGTGAGCCACCATGCCTGTGCCTAGCCGATCATTCTTTTTAATTGTAGCCATTCTAGATAGTGTGGTAGTATCTCACTGTGGTTGGTTTAAATTTACATTTCCCTAATGATGAATGCTTTGAACATCTTTTCATGTAGTTGTCATTTGTATGCCTTCTCTGATGTAGTGTCTGTTCAAATTTTTGTCTATTTAAATTTTGTCTTCTCATTGAGTTGTGAGGGTTCTTTGTATATTCTAGCTGTAAGTCCTTTATTGGATATCTGTGTACTCAATGTTTTCTGCTATGGTTCATGTGTCCTAAGAAATCTTTAGCTCAAGGGCACAAAAAATTTCTCCTATATTTTCTTGCAGGAGGTTACACTTTAACTCTTACATTTTGGGTGTGTGATCCATTTGGGGTTAATTATTGTGTATGGTATGAATTAAGGATCGAGATTTACTTTTTTGCATATGGATATCCAATAGTTCCAGCACTGTTTGTAGAAGGACTGTACTTTATCCAGTGAATTACTTTGGCACCTTTGTTGAAAATCAACAGCCAGCCATATGTGTGGGCCTATTTCCTAACTCTCTAAGACAGGATCGGGTCTACTTAAGGCCAAAGATGTTCAGGCAACTCTGTTAAAGAGTGAGAAGCTGCTAGCCAAAGAGGCATATGTTTGTTTCTCATCCTTTATTATTGCTGGGGTAGTTTGTTTTTTCATTAAATATACCCACCATCTAGATCATCGGATCCTTGTGGTAGAAAGGACAATAGGAATATTTTCTTCCTGATGATGCCAGAATATCCTTGATGGATAATCAACCAAAGGCCAGATGATGGTGACTTTTGTTTTGTTTTTTTGAGACCAGGCTGGAGTGCAGTGGCATGATGCTGGCTCACTGCAACCTCTGTCTCCTGGATTCAAGTGATTCGCCTGTCTCAGCCTCTCAAGTAGCTGGGATTGCAGGCGCCCGCCACCATGCCCAGCTAAGTTTTATATGTTTAGCAGAAGTGGGGTTTCGCCATGTTGGCCAGGCTGGTCTGTAAGTCCTGCCTCGGCCTCCCAAAGTGCTGGGGATACAGGTGTGAGCCACCGCCCAGCCCCCAGATAGTGATTTCTATTCATTCAGTTAACATGCATTAAGTCCCTTTCCGTATCACCTGGGCTGGTCTATGCTGGTGAGCAGATCGCTGCCTTTCCTGGGTTCATGGTCACTTAAAGCAATGGGAACTTGCTATGTAAACCTGCATTAGGATCAACTGAAATATTTCATCAGTGGCCTTTAAGGTGACTTAAAGCTGTAGAGCAGCTCATGGCAGTTTCCTGAAAACCCACCCTGATGTATATGCAACAACCATTGTAATGTACTCATTGGCTTTGTCTAAGTAGGTACTCCGATATTGACTTGTGTGCTTTTATTGTTTGCGTCACATACAGCCAATCCTGGAGAACATTTTGAGGAAGAAAAGGAAACGGGTATGTGGTGCTTGTACCCACAGTGGACGGTGCAAACCACTGAGTCCCACATTCTGGTTCTGAAGCAGCTTCCTTTTAGAATGAAATGCATGGAGTCTCCTGCTCCCACATAGTTCTTAACCTTGTGAATCGAACTGTGGGCGCTTGAAGAATTTAAAAAATTACATAGTAACAGAAAATAGTCATCCCCGATGACTGTCTTGGCAAAGCCCTCCTTCCTGGTCTTTCTGCCAACAAACATTCAGCCCTCCAGCCTTCCTCCGCACAGACACCAGAGTAATTTAAAACAGAAATCTGACCATGTGACACCCTCCCATGGTTAAACCCTTCACTGGCTCTTCCTCAGCCACGGTCCTGTCTGGAAGGGCCTCCCCAGCTGCACCTCCCTCTGCAGCCTTGTCGGCCATTCCCTAGGTCATACTTCGCGTGAATCTAAAACCGAGCACTTGTGGATCCCAGTTTTCCCTGGGCTCTCTCAGCACCTTTGGTTGGGTTGTGCGGTCTGAGTGGAATTCCCAGCCCTGCTTGCTGGTAACGACTTTTGTCCTTCAACAGTCAATGGCAGTGTTTTCTGGGAAGCTGTCCCCAGGTGCTTCCTCTTTCCTAGCATCTCTGACTAAATCCGTCCCTTCCCCTACGTGCTCCCACAGTGCACACTGCACTTACCACTGCATGCCGAGATAGCTGCTTAAATTCCTCAGGACATCCAGTTAGCAGCGCTGCGCACATGCGCATCTGTGATAAATGCTGGCCGGGCTGACTGAGGAGGGCTCTTTCTGTCACCATAGCACTTATAAGATAGATCCGTTTACACAACAGTGCCCCACACTTTCCAGGATGTGTCTGATGCTAAGAGCAGGGGAGCTCACTTCCCAGCGTGACTGGGAATGGGAATGCAGATAAATGAGGCCTAGATAAAACTCCATCTCCTCATCTTGGCACGTCACCTTTTCTAATCTCACCTGTTAGAGGTACTGTTAATAAGTGGTAAGCAAGTTGGCCAATTCTTTCTTCTTTCTTCCTTTCCTCTTTTCTTTCTTTTTTCTTTCAGATGGAGTCTCGCTCTGTCACCCAGAACCCAGGCTGAAGTGCAGTGGCGCGATCTCGGCTCACTGTAACCTCCGCCTCCCAGGTTCAAGTGATTCTCCTGCCTCAGCTTCCTGAGTAGCTGGGATTGCAGGCGTGTGCCACTATGCCCCGCTAATTTTTCTATTTTTCGTAGAGACAGGGTTTCACCATGTTGGCCAGGATGGTCTTAAACTCCTGACCTCAAGTGATCTACCTGCCTCAGCCTCCCAGAGTGCTGGGATTACAGTGTGAGCCACCGGGCCTGGCCCCAATTCTTTCTTGACCCCTCCTCTCTGTTAATTATATACCATCGAACAACAGAACACACAAGAAGAAAGGAGAAACAGGGCACTTGAGTCGTTCTGGAGTTAAGAGGAAGTAATAACCAGCCATATAGGAAATGGAATTCCATCCTTTAATCCTTCCTTTTTGGTGTTTTTCTAAGTGAAGTCAGCCATGTTCTTCCATTTCTTCATTTCAATTACTACGTAGTGTTAGAGAACAGCTTACAAAAACCAGCTCTTACCTGCCAGGTTCCTCTCAGCGTTCATCCGGTAGCTGTCCGCAGCCTGGGCCATGAATCGTGCCGTTGCCAAATGGTTCAGCATGATTTCACAGCTTTGGTCGTTTTTTTCCCACATGTCAGTTCCTTCAAAAGTGACAGCCTGACGCTCCATTAAGGTCACAAGGGGCATCAGCAGTGGGACTGATACATTGCTTGGGGGAACACATGTGGACTCTGAAGAATAAGGAATAGAGTTTTCCATATCAGATGCTTTCAAAAGCTAAGCACAGAATGAGGTGACTAGTAGCCCTTGCCAGGTTATGTCAACTGTAGCCTTCTACAAGCAACGCTGTCATCTGATAAAAGCCCTGATGAGCCATCCACAGTGCTGCAGATTCCTCAGGGCCTCATAACACGCCCCGCGTACTTGTACTCCACTCCCCAGTGGGGGAGCCCCGCGCTTGCTCTGCCCCCGTGCTCACCTCTGCCTTCATGCAGGATTTTGCTGAAGGGCTTTAGCTGTTTCTCATAGAGGATAGCAGTTTGGGTGTACTGGTGCCGCAGGGCAGTCCACGTCTTTTCTAACCTTGTGATCTGGAAGAAAGATGCTATTGTTTTGGAAAAGGTTCTTTTTAAAATTACCTTTTTGCGTAATCCCAGCACTCTGGAAGGCCGAGGTGGGTGGATCACTTGAGGCCAGGAGTTTGAGACCATCCTGGACAACTTGGTGAAACCCCATCTCTACTCAAAATACAAAAATTAGCTGGGCATGGTGGCATGCGCCTGTACTCCCAGCTACTCAGGAGGCTGAGGCAGGAGAATCGCTTGAACCCAGGAGGCAGAGGTTGCGCTAAGCCAAGATCGCACCACTGCACTCCAGCCTGTGTGACAGAGTGAGACCCTGTCTCAAAATAAATAAATAAATAAATAAATAAATAAATAAAATTATCTTTTTGCTTAAATTTTGGAACAGCTGATAGATACTTATGGTAAAAACGTCAAAGTGGTTAAAAGCAGGGTAGAGAGAAAAAGTAACCCCCATCCACCCCATCTGCATTGCTGTTAGCCCATCCCAGAGATGACTCTCTCCAACTGCCTGTGCGTGTGTGTTTCACATGCAGCCTGGCCTGCTGGCCAGTCCACTGTCAAAATTCAAGGCAGTATTGGATGAGAGGAAATAAACATGATGCAAAGTAATACACCTGAATGAAACATTATAACTCCTATTATAATAGAAATCAGCATATCATGAAAATATGGCAGAACTGATAAGTTGCTTATTTCAAATATTGATCCCAGGAAATTCTAGTATAGCTGAAGAGTTTTGAAAGCTCTTGAAATATAACTGGAATTGATCTCCCAAAAATTCCTATCTATACACACACCCCTTTTAAAGATACATATATATGCATATTATACTATGTAAACCACATCTATTCCTTGCCTCAAAAGCATTCAGTATAAGTACATACAGAACAGCCTTATTTTGTTAAATTTCTGCATAATATTCCACTGTATGGGTAAGCTATAGTTTAGTCTTTTACAGTTAAGAGTTTTATGCCTTTTGAGACAGGGTCTCACTCTGTTCCCCAGGCAGGGGTGCAGTGGTACGATCACGGCTCACTGCAGCCTCAACCTCCCAGGCTCAGTGATCCTCCCACCTCAGCCTCCTGAGTAGCTGGGACAACAGGCATGAGACACCACTCCTGCTACTCACTTCTTTTCTTCTGCAGCTAACTCGGCCTCAGTTTTCTTCTGGAATAATTTAGTCAGTAGCAGCATATACCACTGACTCTGACTGTCCTAAGATAAATGGTCCCCAACTCATACCCTAAAACCAGCAAGGCTGTGTTAAGTTTTCTACATGAAACAAGGAAGGGCATTAGTATTTAGGGAATAAGAGCCAGCTTTATGTCAAATATTTGAAGAATTTCACTTAATCTTCACAATGCCCTTCAGGGCAGGTATTTTGGCTTCATTTTACAGATGAGAAAACAGAAGAGATTAGGTAACTCACAAGGCTTCTCAGCTGGTATGTGGCAGAGCTGAGATTCATTTACTTGGCCCTGAAGAGCTCCTGTATCCAAAAGGAAGGTGAGTAGGCTCAGCACCAGCAGATGTGCTGTGAAGAAGAGGCTGTGGCTGGCCTTCCTCCTGCAGTGCACCATGTTGCCCTCCCTTCTGGAGACCCCTGCTCCCTACCCACTCCCTGAGGCATTGCCTTTCTGAAAGAAGCCTCTGGGTCTGGGCTAGGCCCATCTCCTGGACGTACTCTCTCGATACTAGAAGCTGAGAAGAGAAGGTGGCACATGTGGCCATAATGTAAGGGTTGGGTTGGATAGTGACACGCATAGTGACGTGACTCTCCTTTTGGGCTTTCTCTCGGTATGCCACTTCCCTCCCAGGCCACTAAATGCTCCGGAGGACTGTGTCCTCTCACTGCTGATGTGCTCCAGAAGGGAAGGGATGACAGTGTCAGAAGGCAGGGAACCACCTACAAAGCATGGTAATGTGGTTGGGGACAAGTCTCTAACCACTGAGTTTGATGTCATGGATGGCAGCCATGCGATCCCACAAAACATCTCCTTTACCACTCTCAGGGGAAGCTCTGGGCTGGAAGGCTTTACCCACAGCCCGGGCTGTTGGCTCAGCTGTCAAAATTCTAGGCAGTTTTAGATGACATGAAATAAACATAATGCAAATTTAAATACCTGAATGAAAAATGTGATAGTAGAAATCAGTATATCATGAAAATCTGGCAGAATTTATCAGTTGCTTATTTCAAATACCAATCTTACAAAATTCTAAACTACCTGAAAAATTTTGAAAGCTTCTGAAATATAATTGGAATTGGCCTCCAAAAAATTCCCGATGAAGGCACTACATTGTTCAACCTTTTATTTTTAAGATGACCTTGCTTTAATGCAAGTAAATTCTATTCCAGCCACAATCTGACTTGTGGGACATGTGGCTGTGGCTGTCTTTCTCAGTGGCAATGATGGATTTTCAGTGAGCACCTGGCAGGACTTCAGAGATAATCTGTGGCTATGAAACAGCCATGCTGAGTGACCAGCGGCTTTGGTGTTACTAGCTGCCAGACTGTAAACTCATACTCAAGTCCTCCAAGCACCCAGGGCTTGAGAGAACAGAAGTGGGAACGCTGATCCTGAGTGATAAAGGTGGCAGCATACTTTCCTCTATGAGGCCTGTTTGACTTAAATACAGGTTTTTATGTCTGACACTCATCCTAACAAACCCCTGGCACAGCAGATAAATTCAAATGCCCAATTTTAGAAACGGTAATTAGGGAGTTCTATGGCAGGTGGACCAAGAATCTGAACTTGTTATTAGGACAGTCTGTTTTAGATGACGTGAGATAAAAAAGTCTAAGGATTCTCTGATAGAAGCTCCACAAATGTCTCATTTCCCAGTGATTATCCTACACTGCCCACACAGCTGGTGACCCACATGGAAGCAGTCTCTCTCTCAAACAACACACTGTAGCCAGATGTCTCATCCTAATTGATTCTCCATGAATCCCTACTGTTCATGAGGCTGACACGTGCTACTGTACATCAAAGAGAAAGCATGGACTGTCAGAAATTATCTACTGCTTCAAAAAATAGACCCTAGAGGCCGGGGCATGGTGGCTCATGCCTGTAATCCCAGCACTTTGGGAGGCCGAGGTGGGCGGATCACCTGAGGCCAGGAGTTCAAGACCAGCTTGGCCAACATGGCAAAAACCCATCTCTACCAAAAATACAAAAATTAGCCGGGTATGGTGGCCCACGCCTGTTATCCCAGCTACTCAGGGGGCTAAGGCAGGAGAATAGTTTGAACTCGGGAGACAGAGGTTGCAATGAACCAAGATCACGCCACTTCACTCCAGCCTGGACAAGAGAGTGAGACTCCATTTCAAAAAAACAAACAAACAAACAAAATATATATGTGTGTGTGTGTGTGTATATATATATATATATATATATATATATATACACACATATATATTTTGTTTGTTTATATATATATGCCCCAGCCCAGGTGCAGTGGCTCATGCCTGTAATTCTAGCACTTTGGGAGGCCGAGATGGGTAGATCATTTAAAGTCAGGAGTTTGAGGCCAGCCTGGCCAACATGGTGAAACACTGTCCCTCCTAAAAATACAAAGTGGGTGTGGTGGCACGCGTCTGTAGTCCCAACTACTCAGGAGGCTGAGGCAGGAAAATCACTTAAACCTTGAAAGTGGAAGTTGCAGTGAGCTGAGATCGCACCACTGCACTCTAGCCCAGGTGGCAGAGTGAGATTCTGTCTCAAAAACGGAAAAAAAAAAGACCCTAAACACTTAGGACACTGCCCCCTAATTGAAGCAGCTTTCACTAAGATTCAATTTACTTTTGAGATTGACTAATATAGTCTCATTTACCAAGCATAGCATGCAGCTCTCTTTACAGAACAGTAAGTACACATAAAGTAATTGGAAATTTACCTGTGGCATTTCCAGGGCCTTCATGAGAGCTGAGAAGGAATAGAGGTCCCCCATGGAATCCTTCAGTTCCACCGCCACCTGGATGATCTTACTGAGAGTGGCTGCTCGGTCATCCAGAGTGCCCGTGCAGCCCAGAATGTCCACTGCAATGCCCATGGCCATCGTGTTGTGTCTGAAAGCAAGATCAGCGGTCAGTTTCAGGGCCAATGGGGACTAGAAGAAAACTAAACCAAATCAGCCAAGAGCAGGGCTGTGTTTGTGCCACTTGCTGCTATTGCTCTGAAATGTGCCCGCAGCACAGTTTAAACGGCCAGTCTCAACAGAGAACGCCCCTTAGCAGGCTAACTGCGGAGGGCCAAGCTGGGCCACAGAGGGTGCACTTTGCAGTCAGAAAGCAAGAAGCCCCCGGACAGGGCCATGTGCAACCCTGGACCTGGGGGCACAAAGAGGGCGCTTCTGGGGCAAAGCTGCTCAGAAGTACATGTGGCTCCTAGTACCCTGTACCATGAGAGGTCCATGGAAACAGCAGGTTCCCCAACACACTCTGAGAATATCTCCTCAGGGAAGCCCAGGGCCACCTCCACTGAGCCCCCGGACTTGGGGATGAAAGGGACAGAGAAATGAGAGGATATGCTTGAGCCAGGACAATAACACAGCTATGAGAACAAAGGCTGGAAAGAAGAGATAAGAATGGTGTTCTTTAGCCCTACTGCAGAAGCCAGGAAATGAATGGGGAAGAGCATAAAGATGGAATAGTTGATGGGCTAGAATGTGCCTACAAGGCCAGACTCTAATAAAATTGAGATCTCATTTTCCCCAACAATCCTCCCTTTTCTCGTCCTAAACTACATGGGTTAACCTCAGAGGCCCAGAACAGGAAACAGGGTGATCTTTTCTCTGCATGACAATAGGTCTAATATGAATGGGGTCAGTCTGTGGCAGAAAGCATAGACCGTGACCCCTTTCCTTCCCACTGTAAATCAGGACCCAGGAATTAACTGCTTTAGACCAGAATCGCCTCAATTTCTTCCAGGCTGTGGTATAAGTGCTGGAGACGAAGCCCCAGTTTATAACTATAGTTATTAAAACACAACATGCTACTCTGTCCTGAATGTTCATAGCTTAGGATGTTATTCCATGTGGTACTCTCTCTGTGTACAGGTGTGTTGGTCTCTGTCTTGCTCTCCTTGAGCAAAGGGCAGCAGGGATTCATTGAGTGCTTTACCATTACTCATTTCTCTAATGTTTGTTAAATAGCTAATGAGCTCTGCCTCCAAGTGTGTTTGCACATATATGCGTGTACGGGGCTCACTTGCAGTGTAAGCTTAGGCTGGCGCCTAACTGCTCTACCCCTCAGGTTCTTCATCTGTAAAACAGGAGCAAGGGTTGTGAGAAATAGAGACTGTGTTTGGGTGTAAATATAATTAAAGTGAGCCAGGTGACATAGCCCACGCCTGTAATCCCACCACTTTGGGAGGCCAAGACAGGCAGATTGCTTGAGCCCAGGAGTTCAAGACTAGCCTGGGCAACAAGGGCACAACCCTATCTCGACTAAAAATAACAAAAATTAGGCATGGTGGCACATGCCTGTGGTCCCAGCTACTCTAGTGGCTGAGGGATAAGAATCTCTTGAACCTGGGAGGTGGAGGTTGTAGTGAGCAGAGATTGCGCCGCTGCACTCCAGTCTGGGTGACAAGAAAGACTATCTTAAAAAAAAGTAATAATAATAACTAAAGTGCCTGACACTAGCAGGCGCCTAATAAATAGCAGTTGTTACTACAGTTGCGTCTGTGCACGTCTCTCCCTCTGTATCTTGGTCCATTGTGCCTCTTTGTCCGTCTTTCCTCTGTTCTCCATTTATCTCCTTTTCCTGATTTATCTTTCTTAATTAATGGATCCAAACATAGACCTAAAATATATTTTTATTATTTATTGTATTTTTTTGAGACAGTGTTTTGCTCTGTTGCCCAGGCTGAAGTGCAGTGGTGTGATCATGGCTCACTGCAGCTTTGATCTCCCTGGCTCAAGGGATCCTCCTGCCTCAGCCTCCTAAGTAGTTGGGACCACAGGCATATGCCACCATGCCCAGCTAATTTTTGTATTTTTTGTAGAAATAGGGTTTTGCCACAATGCCCAGCTAGTCTCGATTTCCTGGGCTCAAGTGATCCACCTGCCTTGGCCTCCCAAAGTGCTGGGATTACAGGCATGAGCCACCACAACTGGCTGTTATTTGGTAAATTTTTGGAAGAGTTTTATTATCCATTTGCAAAATGTTAACACTGACAGAACATCTTAGATGTTGCTTTTAACTAACTATAAACTAACTTCCCATGCTGCATTCAACTGATTCTTTATTCAGTGTTTTCTCCCCCTATGTTTTAATGGCCCTTTAGTGTTATATCAATGGTTAACGGAATGGTTATATCCATTCACTCAACCGGCATTTGCCTGAAACCTCCTGGATACACCCACTATGGGAAAACAACTCAGGCTGGCAAGTCTGCAGCAAAAGCTCCCGTGGTTGGCGAGAGGCGGCACTCAAATGTCACATGAAGGACACTTCCAGCCTAGGATGCCTGGAATGGGTGAGGTGGTAAATTAAAAATAAGGGTTGGTTTTGTATTTGATTGTCAAATGCAAGAAGGTGATGTCATGTGACACATCAGGACCTCTATAACCCCTGCCTTTATTTAATAAACACATTGTAATTAATGAAACGAGTCCCCCAGCTCTAAAAAGAAGATCCCACAGGTCGGCCTTGGACAAGAAACAAGTGAAAGAACAAGACCCCGGCCAAGAGTCAGGAGAAAAAGAGAAATGAAGGGGAAAGTCAGAAAACAGCCAAGAGAGAAGCCCCAAACCTGTCACCCTTGTCCTGTCCCAGCACACCAAATGATACTGATAAAATAGGGCTCAGATTCATTAGTCCTGGAACCTGGGGGTTTCAGGCTGAAATGTCTCATGGGAGAAACGGCAAAGTGTGGAGGCACAGCTCACTTCTGCTGATAGAACGGAAGATGGTGGAGCCGGGGGGCCAGGGCCCTGGGGCAGAAGGCAAAAAGCGGACACCCGAGAGAGGCTGGAACCTAGAAAAGTCTCATCAGGAAGAGCAGGGAAATTCAGAAGCGGAAACTAGAATTCCCCAAAGGCCTAAACAATGGGTGTTTCCGAACAAAGTCAGCAAGGGGCATTTCTTCACCTCTGGCCTCCCTCCCACATGGCTTCAACTCAGCGTTCTGGGTATTTTCTATGGGATGTATCCATGGCTGTGAGGCCCAAACAGCAGCAGCATGGGAGTCATTTTATCTGCTTTACACCCACGGAAATGCCAAAGCAGCAACGCCCATCCCCCCACAGATGGCTATTTACCCTGAAAATAGTAAATTCTAACAAACGTCATCCCTCAATCACATCAGTCACATTTCAGGCGCCCGAGAGTGACATGGCTGGTGGCTAATGTAATGGTCAGTGCAGAACTTGTGTGTTACCATAGAAAGCTGCCCTGGACAGCCCTGGGCAGTCATGGCAACTAGGACATGGGCGGCACAGACAGAAAACTTCACAAGATAGTCTTGCCCAAATCAAGTTTGTAAAAATGTGTCAAAAAGGCCAGCTTTTGTGGTAATATGGGTATCTAGTCTAGTGCTTCTTTTCTTAAAAACATATCTCACTGTTGGTGTTTTTCTAATTCCTAAACATTCCATTTCAATGGACACCCAGGGCCCTGGCTTTTCATGAGAAGAGGGCAGGGATGGCTTGGAGGCCCCGGGTGAGTGCCGTCATCCCCTGACCTCTGACCCTATTTGTCCACCCCTCAAAGAAAACACTGTCTAGACTCTGCTCTTCCCAGCATTTCCCAGAAACTCCTTGTAATTCCTCAAGCAATCTTAATCCCCAAAGAGACAAAGGCACAGCTCACTAGGCAGGGCTGTAGGGCAGGAGACCCAGGAGACCCTGCGGTGCTCTGGTCACCCCAGTCCTGCCCCAGGCTCCAGGATCTGTGACTCCTGCTCACACAGGCCAACTGAGTCACTAGCTTCAGGACATCTGTTCTCTCCATCCGACCCTCCAGGATCAGGGATGGGAACATGTTCTTTGTTCCTGAGTTGTGCTGTCTTTGTGTGCGACTCCAGGAATTCTCTGGCTCAGGCTTCTGGGAAGAGTCACCGCAGGCCATGTACTGTGAAGCGCTGCTACCCCAGGGCTGGGCTGGTGCTGGGCCCCTATCTGTTCTAAAATCTGCTGCTCTGATGCCTGCAAGGAGCTGGGAGCGTCAGAAGTGCAGAGGACGGCACTGCTCACCTTTCAATTATGTCCAGGCGCAGCTGGTGTCCGTGAGGCAAGGTAATGAGTTCCAGGCCTGAGCTCACCCCCATGTTCCTCTTCGTCTCTTCAGAGACTTCAAGTATCCTAGCAACCTGTCAAAGTTGAAACACACTGGGTCAGGAAGTGGGCTTGCCTGATCATGAATTCAGCATATGAGAAGAAACACACTGAACCGGGATGGTGGACACATTTTCTGTGTTGCATTTCTTTATAAGCAGCAGCTGACAATACTGTTATTATATGATATTTAGGGTCTTTTAATACACACAGTAGAGTATAAAACAGGGGGAAAAGAAAGACTGGTGGGAGATGCCTACACTGCTCTGCAGATCTACAGATTTGTTACGTGTTTCTGCCCAGCCAGAGAACAGTTTAGTTCTCTGAGCTTTTGTCTAACACAGGATCCTGCTGCGACGTTTTGCTGCCAACAGCAGGCTGCATGTGTGCGGAGCTGGCTGATCCCCTGCATTGGGAAAGCGGAATCTCATCCAAGTGCCTCTCTGCTGTGGGCTTTGCCATTCATGTTCTCACTTAACAGCCACAGCTGGCTGCTATTACCCTTAATTATGCTTCTCCTGGGCTCAGTAAATGCTCTATACGTCTGGAAACTATTAAAAATGTGTACAGTGATTGGAAACCTGAGATCTCAAACCCACTTCTTTCTCCTCAGAGGCTTTTCTGAAAGAAAATCTTTGTCCCAGACAGCTCTCAACCCATCTCAATTCTAGTATGTAATTCTCAGTTTATTAGAATCAGGTATTAGTTATTACAATGTCATGGAGAAGCGTTACAACTGAGCCAGTGTGTCTCTAAAATGGGGCTGATAGGCTAGGCACGGTGGCTTATGCCTGTTATACCAGCGTTTTGGGAGGCTGAGGTAGGGGACTGCTTGAGGCCAGAAGTTTGAGACCAGCTGGGGAATACAGCGAGACCCCATCTTTACAAAAAATTAAAAATTAGCTATGCATGGTGATGTGCGTTTGCAGTCCTAGCTACTTGGGAGGCTAAGACAGGAAGATCACTTGAGTACAGGAGTTTGAGGTTATAGTGAGCTATGATCATGCCACTGCACTTCAGCCTGGGTGACAGAACAAGACACTGTCCCTAAAAACAAAACAAAAATTAAATGCAGCTAATGACACCTCACAGCATAATGATGTACTAAGAGCGGAACTGACATATGCAACAAGTCTAGCCACCTAAACACACGGCAGGCACGGGACGGTTTCTTTCCTTGATTTTTGCACTTGTTCTCAACCATAATTACTCTAGGCTATCAAAACACATCTGGTCATTTAGGTGTTATTACTAACCCTGCCCCGTAACTTCTGTGGTTCAACCCACAGTCAACCCTGAGGGGATGAGCCTATGGAATTAGTTCTCCAGTGGCAGATGCCAGAACAGGATGCAGAATTCCAACTGTGCTCCTACCTGTGCTCTCTGGGCCTCAGTTTCCCCTTTTCTAACTTAACTGCTAAGTGTTCCTTTCTCAAGGACTGTGCAAGGGATTCAGGTAACTTTAGAACCCCCAAAAGCTACCTGAAAATAGAAGTTGTGAATCATCGGCCATGTGGAAAGGGGAAGAATTCTGGCCAGATCTTGGGAAAGGGATTTATACATTGACCTTGGCAAGGTAGCCCAGACACATGCCACGCACACTTCCTTACCAGCTGCCCTGTGTCAGAGGTCCCAAACCCTGCACTTCTGAAGGGTGTCCCCCACGCTCTGGGTGGCGAGACTGGAAGGCCTGTGACTGATTCAGTTTTGCTCTGGAAGACCTGGAAGACAGGCGGTGGTCCCTGCTCTCCAGCCTGTGTTTCTTTAGCATGTCTATGCCATCCTTGGGTCACTTCACTGGAGCCACACCTATTTGCCTGAGGACTGAGGGGATCCCAAGCTCACACAATCGGGCCTGGATTAGGTTCCCTGACAAATGCCCAAGATTGTACAGCTCACAGACACAGAGGAAGGCCAAAGATGTCTAGAGCATTTACTGTGAGCCGACTCCTCAGGGCAGGGTGGCAGAGGCCCTCTAAATCTCAGCTGGCCTACTCTGCTGCATCTCTGGACTCTGCCCATTGCTCCTTCTCCCACTGCCTTGGAGGCTGCTGCACTGAGGCAGGAAATCCCCTACAGGCGCCCAGCCCAGCCCTCCCCCCAGGCGCAAAGGCCCTTCTAAAACACCACGAGGCTGCCTGGCGCCACTCGCTGGTTCTGTTGCCCTCAGCATACAAGAGCAGATCTGTACTACACTTGACTGCAAAGTGCCTCGCAGGCAGGAACCTGGTACGAGCCCACAAGTAGAGACTTAGGAAACATTGAAGGAAAGACCTGTGAAGCCCTCCAACACCGCACCCCTAACCCCATCTTCTTCCACTCACACTGAGTGAATCTGCTGTAAACCAACCCTCTCTCCTTTGCTTTTGACAACTGAGCCTCTGTGCATGTGCATTGCCTACCGCCTGCAAGATGCTTTTTGTGTTCTTCATCTGGCCAACGATGTAGCCTTCCAAGCTCATCTCAGACGTCCCGGCCCCATCTCCACACCCCACTCCCTGTTCAAGGCCCTGCCAGGAGGCCCCACAGCTCCTGTGCCTTCCCCTGCAGGGCATCTGCCACCTGGGTTGTGCTCCAAGTTCCTGCATCACTGTCCCTCCCCAGACCACCTCCACCAGATAATAGGTGCTCCAAGAGCAGAGACCACGAGCTGCCCTAGCACACAGTAGGTGCTCCATCCAGGCTGAATGCATAACACAGACAAACACTTAGTGCTCACTGTTGGCTAGGCAAGGTGCCCAGGGCTGTTAATATATTATCCCATTTAGCCAACCACCTGGGTAGTTGGTATTCCTTACAGATAGGGAGAGAAGGGGAGGCTTTTCAGCTGATGTGGCAGAGGTGGGGCTCAGGCTCAGGCAGAGGCCAAGCCCTTCACTACTGGACCTCGTTTCTAGCTATAGTCAAAGACCTTGCGCACGGTCGGAGAGGCTCAGTGGCTCCTAACCAGACCCTTGGGGGATAGGGAGATGGACACAGCTGGGCAGGGAGTCTGGAGGGCTCTTAGGACCACCCACTGTCCTGATGGCCTATCTGGGCATCTGCCCGCATGGCTGGGAACCAGCATGAGAGTCCCAGATGCTAGCCAGACCCTGCTCTCAGCTTCCGGGTGGCCCTGTCTGCGCTGCCACTGCATTTGGGGTGAGAAACAACAGATCTTGTTGTATTTCCCTCCTAGAGATGCTGATTGTGTCTGTTTGGAAGTCAGTGATTCCAGGAAGAGAATATGGAAATGGTGGTAGACTCCAGAGACAGGGAAGGAAGAATTTTCAACACAGCCCTGCCCTGGGGCTGGGTGGGCAGAGTCCAGGCTGGCTCCTGCTCGCTGCCTGAGGACCCCATTCAGCCCCTTGTCCAGGGGTGCCTGCAGGCAGACATGAGAGTGAGGCCCCACCAGGAGGACAAAACGCACCACAGCAAGCCAGGGCAGACTGTGTTCTTCAGTTGAGAACATCCCCGGGGTCTAGTTTCATGGCTACCAAAAGTACTGGGTGAGTCCCAGACCTCCTGCCAAGGGCGGGCAGGCGGGCATCTCTCCTCTACCTAGATGATCATTAAGCCCTGCCCAGAGCCTCAGGAGGGATTCGGTCCCTTGGGAACTGGGCTGCTCTGTAAACCCAGGCCTGTTTCTACAAGGAGCTTCCTCTATGGAGAACCCATGCAGGTTCACACCAGGCCAGAGTCTCCCTCCTGGCCCGTTGACACGGTTCTGCTCTCAGATCCAGGGTCCAGTGTGCTTGACTGATTCGAACAGAAATCCTCACTGCTCTCACTTCCCAAACAGGTTAAACTCGCTTATTTAAAGTGAGGTCCGATAACTCCGAAAATTGCATGACCACCTGTGAGCATTGCCCAAGACCATCCGGCCAAATGTGCAGCACAACCTCGTTCTTACAATGCAGCTGGTTCCCTGGCTCTCCTCTCAGGGCCTACCTAGCAGAAGTGCACACTCAGCCCCACCTCCCAGGCCTGGGCAATGAGTTATTCTGGTTTCTGAGTCATCCCTCAAGTTCTGTGGTCAGCAAGGGCCTTGTTTACCCCAGGATGGCCAGGAACTGCCTTAAGTTCCTCATGCCTGTTTGTGGGAGCCCTCCATCAGTGTTGGCACTTCCTGCAGGAGTGCTCCGAGACTGGACTTCTTGCCATGATCCAACACATAGGGAGGAAAACCCAGTTCCTAAATAAGTCCTGACATTTGATGCTAATTGACTTCACTGAGCTACGAATAAAAAGCGCTTTGAATGGCCAGGAACCAGCCTCTTTATATTGAGAAGGTGGACTGAGACCAGCATTGTCTGAGGTGGTGCCTGGTGTCTAGAATACAGTCAGCTCTCTTTATCCGTGCTTCTGCAACAGTAGATTCAACCAACCAAGGATCAAAAATATTCAGAAAAAAAGAACTGCATCTGTATGAAACATGTAGACTTTTTTCCTTGTCATTATTCTCTGAACAATACAGTATAACAGCTATTTACGAAGCATATGTATTATATTAGGTGTTATAAGTAATCTAGAGATGATTTAAAGTATACAGGAGGATTGCATAGGTTATATGCAAGTACTGCTCCATTTTATATAAGGAATGCAAGCTTCCATGGATTTTGGTAGCCACTGAAGGTCCTAAAACAAATCCTCATGGATCCAAAAAAGTGACTAAATCTCTGTTAAGGATGAGGTTGCTTTTGGGAATGAACAAAAGTCACATCTAAAATAAATGTTTCCTATAAAAAATGGTGATGGGCCAGGAGCAGTGGTTCATGGCTATAATCCCAGCACTTTGAGAGGCCAAGACAAGCAGATCACTTGAGCTCAGGAGTTCAAGACCAGCCTGAGCAACATGGCAAAATCCCATCTCTACAAAAAATACAAAAAGTTAACCAGGTGTGGTGGCATGTGGCTGCGGTCCCAGCTACTGAGGAAGCTGAGGTGGGAGGATCACTTGAGCCTGGGAGTCAAAGGCTGCCATGAGCTGTGAACGCACCTCTGCATTCCAGCCTGGGTGACAGTGAGACCTTGTCTCAAAAAAAAAAAAAAAAAAAAAAAGTGACAATGTAAATATTTAATCATGTGGAAAGACAGTCATGTTGGTCAATGAAAGATTCATGGTTTGGAATAGTATGTATAGAGTAGTGCCATTTCTGTGGAGAAATGATAATGTTTTTGCATAAACCAAATGCTGACAACGGTGATCTCCAGGAAACTGGATGTGGTGTTTTCATCTGTGCAAAACAGGGCAGACTGCCTTCTTCAGTTGAGAACAGCCCTTGGGGCCCTGGACAGGGCCACCCGGAAGCTGAAATTAACTGGATTTTATCTTTTAATCTGTATTTTAGATTTTTTCTAAACTGAGGAAGGAAGGATTATTTTAAAAATCAAGGTAGCTTTAAAGATGTTTATTTATACTAAAGACCACTTTAGTAATAAGTCTATTATGCATAAATATAATTGAATAAAAATAACTAAGGTCTGCTACTCCAGAAACATTTTCATCTACAATCTACTCTCCTGTAGCTTTGGCTTTACCAGTTCTGATGGAGCTGAGGCTAAGGGGGAGTTTGTAAATAGCACCAGGTAGGAGGACAAGGATTCTGCTGCAGCTGCTGACACCAGCAGGGGTGGGTGGGTAGACAGGGCGGCCCCCACCCCCGGCAGCAGGCTGCCATCCCTCTGTCTGAGATGAATTTTATAAGCTTCCTGCTTGGGCAAAGGTTGCCCAGCTTGTAGTTCCCACCCATTAAATAAATCCCCATGCTGGTGTTACTTTCAGACCTTCCTATGGACAAAGCACCTAATGGGTGAGCCAGAGTGAGGCCAGAAGGATCCCCTCCTTCCAAACCTTCCAAAGCCAGAACAACACCTGGACCCCCAGCTCTTACCTTGCAGTCCATGCTCAGTATGTGCTGGGCGATGATCTTGGGGTCACTGTTGGTGAACACTTCTTTTGCACGTTTCAGCATTGCTGCTTCCAGGGGCTTATTCTCAGGGGGAAGGAGCTTTGATTCAAAGTCATTGGGCCTGAAGGAGGAGACAGTCTCCAGGAGGGGTGTCACAAACTCGCCCTTGTCCCACTGCCCCTCCTCCATCTGACCTGCCACAGGTTCCCAAGGGTTTTCCCTGTCATCACCATCAAGGATCAAGTAGTTGATGCCAGAGTTCCGGGGACCTGGCGCCCCATTCCGCTTGGTTGTGAGCAGTTCTGTGCGGCTGCCCTGGGCACATAAGGGAAGCTTGGCTGCCCTGCCGCAGCCTGTGGCAAATGCTGGGTTCAGTTCACAGTAGTTGGCCTCTGAGTTGAGCCAGGCGGGAGGAGGTGAGGGAGCCTTGAGGAGGGGCACCTTGCAGGGCTTAGGGGGTGGCTTAGGGCACAGCTGGCTGTCTGATCCCCTCAGTGCCTCCCCAGCCCTGGCGTCTGAGGAGACCCTCCGAACCACTGCTGGGCTCAGGGCAGGCTCGCTTCCTGTCCTGAACACGGGTGAGTTTGGGCAGGGGCTTGTGTCCACAGCTGAGGACTGAGGTGGCAGCTTGCAGCCTGTGGGGGATAAGAAACGGTCAGAAAAAGCTCATCTGTGTGGAGAATATAAAACAAACAAAACCAGAGTGGCAGCTCCCTGGCCCTCCTCTGTTCATGCTCTTGGGTTTCAATTTTCATTTCCAAAAGAAAATGCAGTGTGACTGCCCCATGCCCAATCTCAGGGAGTCTACAGCATTGTTGACGGCTGGGCTGGCCCCATCCCACACTGCTGGGTGCAATTCTAAATCCCGGGGACTACTGACACCTGGGCTACAAACGTTGTTGTATGGTTATAGAAGGCTGGGACAGTCAGAATGAGGAAATCTATGAGCGTGGAAGGCATGAATAATGTAATCTTGCCCTAAGAAACAGGAGTCATTAGCCACGTAATGACTCCAAGGGAGAGCTGGAGACAGGGAAGGGAGAGGAGACAGGTAACCCACATGGAAGTCGTTTACACAGGAGCATTAGCGAAACCCCTCTGTGGTCCCAGGGAAAGTCAGTTATGAAAATAATGAAAAACAACCTCCGGTTCTACTGTGTAACTGCTTAGGAGGTGTGCCCACACCCCAAACCTTATCACTCTTCTGGCCTTGAATGGAGGATGGAGAGGAAGGGGAGTTGGCCTGGACAGTTGTTCTGTCAAAAGCCCCTGGATCCACCCACCCGCCCAGGAAAAGGACTAAAGGAGTAGGCTTGTCATGAAGACCACGAGTTTCCAAATGGGCTTGAATCAGAAAACCTGGGTTCAAATGCTAGGCGATTCTAAAGAAGTTACTTAACCTACCCGTGCCTCAGTTTCATCAGCTGTGAAATGGCGATAATCACGCCCACCTTGAAGGCTTGCTGTGAGGCCTAAACACTGGCATACAGAGTCCAGCTCAGTGCCTCACCACTGGATATAATTCTGCAAACCCGTTCCCCTCTAGGCTGCAGGCCTGAAGCCTTGTGCCGTGTCCAAATGAGACAACTAGATGGGGCAGGGTAAAAGCCTAAAGGAAACCAGGGTCATACTGACATTCTTCTCTCCGAAAATTCCTCGAAACATACCAATCGGCAGGTAGCTCTCTGACTGGTGGGCTTTGAGGGACAAGGCTCTTCTGTCCTGCATGTGATCCAGACAGGCTGGCTGGCTACCACTCTTTTCTTTATTTCTGAAGCAAAAGACAAATAGGACAGAAACATGTCATTGAAGTGTAAAACCTTTAGGCATGGAAACTTGAAACAAGAAACTGCTCAGAACGAGAGTGCTACAGCACATACCCTAAAAGTAAAAGAATGTCCGCTGGCAGAAGAAATTACTGATGGGGCAATTAATACATGACTGTGTTGTGTGCTCCGTCCCCTGTCCCCATGACCAATGCTGCTAAGTTCTAGAATGCCTCCTATGGGCTGTTCCATCCTGTTCAACAGAGTAGGGTAAAAGTTTTATGATACTCCCAGGAAAATCTGATGAACTGGAATGTGTACTTTTAATAGAGCCTAAAATTACTTACAGCCCCAGAGGGAATGGCTTGCCTAACTAACATGCATTTTCCACATGCTCCACAGTGTTGCAGTTAGGAAGGAAGCTGTGGGGCAACTTACATTCTGGTGCAAATCTCAGCATCCCCCAAATAACCTGCAGGACTGCCCAGGGAGGCTGCCCTCCCCGACCTCATGGCTGCCCTGCGGGAACCCCCCACATGGCCTCCTCCTGCTGAGCTGGGAAAAGGCACTCGCATGGTCACCAAGCAGCAGCTGGGAGGCACACTGGGTAACCACACAGGGAAAAGGTGGAAGGTAACTTTCAACACACTCTCTGTTATTCCTTCTGTCCCTTTCCAATTCAAATTGGGAATTTGTCTAATTAGCACCAAGCACCAGAATCTCCCTAGCTAGAGACGGAGGCACTGCACCAGCCAAGTTGTTATGAATTTTAACTGGCCTTCCCATAAGCATAAAACATTCTTACGTTACAGAAATCACGAAGTTCTTTCCTACCTTTACAAGCACCAAAGAAAAAACAAAATGAAAAAAACCCCAAACTCCGAGCAACAGAGAAATTCCAGCAACCTTTCGAAGATAAGGCAAGAACGAGGGCAAATTACAAAAGGAAATGGCTCCCGAGAAGTGATATTTAAGTAATGACCACTGTGGCTGGACTCCAAGGGCCAGAACGGAAGGGCTTGGAACGCAACCTGCCTGTGAGCACACACCTTTGCCCAGGGCAGGCCAGCAGCCAGCCAACTAGCAGCCCCGACGTCAGGACAGGTGGCATCTGGCCAGAGCTGACGTGAGGGAGCCACTGAAGGACATCGGGGCAGGGCAGCAGGCCATGGGGCCGTCTTTTCCCCTCCTCCCACTTAAACATTTCTGGGCGTGCTGCCTGTGCAAAGTGGTGACAAGTCCCAGGAGGATCTGGATTCCAAAGGGCAAACAGAAAAGTGGCTCTATTAGGCCTGACTTGTTGACTTAGAGACTTTCTTAGTCTTTTTTTCATTTCTTATCTTAAAATGTTTTTAAACCAGGATCATTCAGGGCCAACAAGGAGGCCTTCCCCACAGCAGTGGTTCTGTTATCCGGTGGAATACACTCCCACTCTGTATATGACATTAACTCCCTGCTTCAACTATTCAGCAGCCAATCCCTCCCAAAACAAACAGAAGAAGAGGTCCCCCTGTAACATGGTAAGGGATCTCCAGTCCATTCCTATTAGTATGAAAAGGAGCATTTCTAAATATTGGGCCTTGCCTCCCTCGTTGTAATTGCCCTGAGTTTTTGTTTGTTTGTTTTTGCTTGTTTTGAGACAGGATCTTGCTCTGTCACCCAGGCTGGAGTGCAGTGGCATGGTCCAGGCTCAAGCAGTCCTCCCACCTCAGCCTCTCAAGTAGCTGGGACCACAGGCACACACCACCGTGCCCAGCTAATTTTTGTATTAAAAACATTTTTTTAATTATTAAAAAAAATTGTGGCTACATGGTAGGTGTCTACACTTACGGGGTTCATGAAATGTTTTGATACAGGTATGCAATGTGAAATAAGCACATCATGGAGAATGGGGTATCCATGCCCTCACGCATTTATCTTTTGAGTTACAGACAATCCAATTACAATCTTTATTTTAAAATATATAATTAAGTTGTTTTGATTATAGTCACCCTACTGTGTTATCAAATAGGTCCTATTCATTCTTTCTAAAATTTTTTGTACCCATTAACCATCCCCACCTCCCTCCCAACCCCCACCCACTACTATCCTTCCCAGGCTCTGGTAACCATTCTTCTACTCTCTCTGTCCAATAATTCAATTGTTTTGGCTTTTTGATCCCACAAGTAAGTGAGAACATGTGATGTTTGTCTTTCTGTGCCTGGCCTACTTCACTTAGCATAATGATCTCCAGTTCCATCCATGTTGTTGCAAATGACAGGATCTTATTCTTTTTATGGCTGAGTAGTGCTCCACTATCCATCCATCTGCTGATGGACACTTGGTCTGCTTCCAAAGCCGGGCTATTGTAAACAGTGCTACAACAAACATAATGCAGATAGCTCCTTGATATACTGACTTCCTCTCTTTTGGGTATATACCCAGCAGTGGGAATGCTGGATCATATGGTAGCTCAACTTTTAGTTTTCTGAGGAACCTCCAAACTGTTCTCCATGGTGGTTGTACTAACTTACATTCCCACCAACAGTATAGGAGGGTTCCCTTTCCTTCACAACCCTCACCTGCATTTGTTATTACCTGTCTTTTAGATATAGGCCTTTTTAAGTGGGATAAGATGATATCCGTTATAGTTCTGATTTACATTTTTCTGATAACCAATCATGTTGAGTACCTTTTCATCTGCCTGTTTGCCACTGCAGTGGTGCAATCTCGGCTCACTGCAACCTCCACCTCCCAGGTTCAAGCAATTCTCCTGCCTCAGCCTCCCCAGTAGCTAGGACTACAGGAATGACCACACCTAGCTAATTTTTGCATTTTTAGTAGAGATGGGGTTTCACCATGTTGGCCAGGTTGGTCTTGAACTCCTGACCTCAGGTAATCCACCTGCCTTGGCCTCCCAAAGTGCTGGGACTACAGGCATGAGCCACTGCGACCAGCCCATGTGTATGTCGTCTTTTGAGAAATGCCTATTTCTCAAAAGAGCAAATCTTTTACCCAGTTTTATTTTTTTTATCACATTATTAGATTTTTTCCTATAGAATTGTTTGAGCTCCTTATATTAATTTATTTTTTGTAGAGATGGGGTTATGCCATGTTGCCCAAGCTGGTCTTGAACTCTGGAGCTCAAGCAGTCCTCCCACCTTAGCCTCACAAAGCGCTGGGATTACAGTTGTGAGCCACTGTGCTGGGTCTGAGTCTGACATTCTACTCCCTTCCAGATAATAAGCACTTCCCTAGACCTCCTATGTGCCTGCCCTGTTCTGAGCACTTTGCATATATTAAACCATGTATACCTCACAAGCTCTATCTTTCTAGACGAAGAAGCTGAGGCCCAGGAAGGTCGAGTTGCTTGACCCTGGTTGAACAGTTGCCCAGTGCAGAGTGGGAATTTGTGCCTGGCTACCAGGTCCACAGCCAGAGGCTGACCAGCATATGCCGGAGCCTCCAGGCAGCACACAGCTGTCATTTGCATTCCACACAGAGTCCTGTATTTTTCTCCCCAAGTTCTGTAGCATAGAAATGACAGTTTATGACATTTCCTCATGGACCAAAAAGAAGATCAGCGAGTAGAATACAATATGTTGGTTTACGTGCATAAGATTAGAAGCTGGGGGCCAGGGCAGGGCTGCTGTGTGACTGAGGGCTGGACTGGGTCTATGTCCCTGACACCTGCCTTTTCCCTCCTTTCCTTTCCCAGTGCATTTAGATGATGTGCACAAGGACCCTGAGCTCTGTGAAAGACAGGCCCTAAACAAATGCAGGCCACCATTGCTGACATTTGACAGCTGGGTGTCAAGGCTCAGCGATGTTCTGAAGCCCTGATTTTCCACCAAGTGCTCTAAATCCTTCCCTGCCCCCATTCCCCAAGGTTCACACTATAGCCCCCATGCTCTCTGCGTCTCCTATCTTAGAAATCTCATCTGTTCTCACCAAGTCAACCACCCTTTCCATGTGGACCAAGCCCTAATTTAAGTCTTCAGCCCTAATGGCCTCCTGGACCCCAAAACTCCTGCTGGACTCTGGCACTCAAGCCCATAGTCTTCCAGCTCAGATGAAAAAGCATGTTTTTCCTCCACAGTCCCCTCCCTCCTGGTCACTCCTGTTGTCTCCAATATGCCCTCCTCCTACTCCGCCACATGCATTAGAGTCCTGGGGGGCCAGGCCCCTCCATGATTCACTAACTGGCTTTCCTGTTCCTGTCTCACTCCTTGCTCCCAGTACATTGCTGTCCATTTCTATTCTTAGGACATCTGCATTCACTCTGCTGAGTCTGTGCAGCTCCCTCAAAGCCCTGCACCTGGCATTAAGGTCCCCACGATCTGGCTGGGGCTAACTCCCTAAGCCCACTGCTACGGGTCCCTTGCACAGACCTTCTGTTCCAGCCCCACCAACACACTCACTCCAAGATCATGCCATTTTCCATCCCCAGACTTATGCCCAGGCTGTGCCTCCCACCTGGAACAGCCCCTGCCCTTTGCAGCTTCTATCCAAATTCTCCCCAGCCATCAGACTAGCCCAAGCTTAACCCCACTTCACAAGGTCTCCCCTGTTGCCGCCCCCTCTGTCCTTCCTCAACTCCTGTACCATTTATTGCTGGCCCTGCTCAGCTGGGAGCTAATAGTGCAATGCCTCGTAACAGCTATTCCGTGAACAGTCGGCATTCCTATTAACATCGTTTATTTCTCTGTTCCATGATGAATTCTTCATCTGCCTAAGTTTGGGCAACTCTGGTGCCTTTCATGGTCCTGTGCCAACTGCAGAGGAGGCCTTGACCCACCTGAGGAGGTTTCCCCTGGGCAAATTCTGCTCTCGGGTCTGGACGCCACCCGTGGTAAGGCTCAGCCGCTTGGCCACATCCGGCTGTCCCTCGGTGAGGCTGCCCTCCCGGGCCCGGCCTGGGGAGGTACCATAACGCTCTTCCAGGCACCGCAGGGGCACCGTCCTGTTGATGGGCTGGAAGATGATGGCGCCACTCTGCTGGGAGATGGGCCGGCGGTTGCCCACATAGCAACGCACCAGGCCGGGGATGGAGTCGAAGCTCTCCATCTCAAACTGGTACTGCACACGGCTGTACGCCTCACTGAGCCGCAGAATTGTCCGGTTGATTTTGAAGTGCTGAGCGAGGTTCTTCCACTGACAGGTTAGGACAAAGTTCCCAGGGCTGGACAGAGAGTCACGAACTAGGAAGTCGCCATCTCGCTGCACAAGGTTTTCAGACACCTTTGGGACAAAAAGGTGAGTGAGGAGTAGGAAAGGCAAAATCACATTCCTTCCAAAAGCTTATGGCTACCCACTTCTCTGGGCCAACGGAAGGCAATGCTACTATTTCTTCTTGGGTCAGCTGTTTAGTTTTTCAAAGGTCAAATTCACAGAAGATCCAATCATTCATTCAGGAACTACTGACTGACAGCCTACTTGTGCCAAGCACCACTACAGGGGTGACAATGGCACACAAGTGCCCACCTCATGGAGCTCCTGTGTTTGGTGGGGAGCTTCTGTTTTAGTGAAAATAAATAACCAATGGCTATGGTATGTCAGATGCAACGTCAGGGAAAAAGTAAATCAGGAAAGGAGACAGGAAGTGCTGGGCAGGGGATGAGGGCTGTCCAGTAAAATAGGGCGGTTGGGGAAGTGTCACAAGAACATGACGTGTATATAGACTTGAATGATGTAATGCACCAGGAAACAGGAAATTAGAAACTGTGTCGGGCAGGCCTGATTTTCCCTCCCCAACAGGTGGAGTGAGGAGTAAGAGGGTGTTTGTTGGTGTCTAGAAGTCGTCCTCGGAGCCCTCTCAGAGGACGAGTCCATGTGCAGGACACACCAACTACTGGCTAGAAAGCCTGGAACTAAGTCGGGCCGGCAGGCTGGGGTCTCTCATCTCACAGTTACTATAAGGGTTATGCATTTGTATACATAATACATGCAAGCGCTGGAACACAGTGGATGCTCAAAAATAACTCGCATGATGCTGCTGCTTACAGCAACTGGAGAATTAAGACTGTGGTGCAGTCTGGCTGTTCCTGTAGCCTCAACCACCTGGGTTCGCATCCTGGCTCAGCTGTAAGACTCTGGACAAATTACATACTCTCCTTGTGGCTAATTTACATTATCTGAAAAACACAAATGATAATATTACCTACAGGATGGCTAAAAAAATTTAAGGAGCTAAAATGTTAGCAATAACTCTTGTTGTTATGGTTATGGTTATAGTGTTCAGTTACCCAGTTTGGAATGATTTATTGCTGAAAATTTATACTCATGGCAAATAGTAAACAAATTTAATGGCCATGATAAGGAGAAGGACAGTGGTGACAGTCACCAGTTTTATAACTGACAATTTTTCTGAGACATTCCATCATTTGATCAACAGTATACTTCTGTTAGCTTAAAATAGTAGGCTACCATGGTTACCTTGAAATTGCATCTTTGCCTTAAAAATGTTTTCACTTAGAAATTCCATTTCTTAGAACTGAGCCTGTGAAGGCTGGGCATGGTGGCTCACGCCTGTAATCCCAACATTTTGGGAGGCCGAGGCAGGTGGATCACAAGGTCAAGAGATCGAGACCATCCTGGCCAAAATGGTGAAACACTGTCTCTACTAAAAATGCAAAAATTAGCTGGGTGTGGTGGTGCACGTCTGTAGTTCCAGCTACTCAGAGGGCTGAGGCAGGAGAATCGCTTGAACTTGTGAGGTAGAGATTGCAGTGAGCTAAGATCGAGCCACTGCACTCCAGCCTGGTGACAGAGCAAGACTCTGTCTCAAAAAAACAAAACAAAAAAAAAACCAGAATTGGGCCTGTTGAGCCTGTGAAAATAATTATAGGTATGAACATAGTACTCTTAAAGGATGTTGGTCACAGTGTTAGAAACACCCTAAGTGTCCAATAAATTGTGATGCATGCATACCATGGACAGACATACAATGTAGGCTGGTACAGAAGAATATTTTATAGTGGGTGAAAATTTCCAAGACATAGTAGGTGAGCAGAATGGGCTACCAAAAAAGTATATGCAGTACAATCTCATACTTGATTTTGAAAAGCCCCGGAGAATATATGTACACAAAAGTGTTCATAGTGGTCATCTCCAGGAGAATTATGAGGAGAATTATAGATAAGAGTTTAATTTCCTTATTTATGCTATCTATATTTTCTACCATTAATTTTAAACTTAAAAGAACAAAGTCAGAATAAGAATTATTTATTTGATTGTGCCAAGAAATCTGCTACATTAAAAAAAAGCCCAGGCGTGACTCATGCCTGTAATCCCAGCATTTTGGGAGGCCAAGGTGGGTGGATCACTTGAGGTCAGGGGTTTGAGACCAGTCTGGTCAACATGGTGAAACCCCGTCTCTACTAAAAACATAAAAATTAGCTGGGTATGGTGGTGGGTGCCTGTAATCCCAGCTACTGGAGAGGATGAGGCAGGAGAATCACTTGAACCCAGGAGGTAGAGGTTGCAGTGAGTTGAGATCATGCCACTGCACTCCAGCCTGGGCGATAGAGCAAGACTCTTGTCTTAAAAAAAAAAAAAACAAAAAAAAAAAGCTTATGACATGATGCCCTTCCTCCCAGCCCCTGCCCACACATTCCCTGTCAATGTTGTCTTTGGTTAATGATTGGCCAGATCAGGTTTACAATAAAAACCCAAGGGAAATTCTATGCCTCAATTCTGCAGACTTATTCTATTTTTCCATTTTTACAGTATTACATAAAAAAACATTATTCATGGCAATCATCCAAATGATGATCACACAGTATATTCTGGGCTACAAGTCTGTGGTCATGGGTTTAATTCCCTTCTTCCCCACCTCTGGGTCATGGTATCCAGTATCGAAGCGATGGAGAGGGTGAATAACGCTGGCTCTACTGGGGCACAGGCAGCCTTGTTGGTCTGGGCCACCCGCCCTCTCTCCTCCTGAAGCTAAGCTGCTGCCTTGAGAGGGAGGGGTTGCAAATAGTTTGAGGCTGCTGGCAGCTGGCCAAGGGTTCAATTACCTGGGCCACAGCCCTCCCTCCTAGTTCTTCCGGTTGCTGACCCTGTGGCTGCTGCCTCCCACAACTCTGCTTGCAGACCCCAGGAGCGCTGGCTGTCCCGTCACTTCCTGAACATGTGGACGTGTGCTCTGGGTTCTTGACCTCAGCTCTTACCAAGGTCTTCTTAGTTAAGGTTCTAAATGAGGTCATTTTTAGAGTATTTGTTTTTGGTTATACAGGAGCTTGCTCCCACATGGCCTCGGAGTGGGACCCTGCAGGTCATCAATCTACACTGCCTGAGAGTAGCTGCGTGTGCGCTGGACAGAACGACACCAGGTACCTGTCGGGGAATGCGGCCGTGGTACCAGGCATGGCTGCGCAGGTCCTCGCTGCTCAGCAGCAGCTCCTCCTCCAGCTCCTTCTTCAGCCTCTCGGGGGTCCTGTCCATCATGTGCCTCTCCTTGGAGAACTGCAACACAGAGTCAACCATGAGCTCCCCTGCCCAGCCCACGCCAGGCCATGCCAGCTGAGGTGACCGCCTGCTTCACTAATACAACCAGTTATGCTGAAGCCTGCATTCAGGTAAGGGAGCCTGGATAATGATTACAAAGAGCTGTGACCTTTCATTTCTCTGGCCACAAGTGTGTAATAAAATTTTTACCTGCACATGGAGACTGTGGTAGGAGAGTCCACCAAGTAGTTCCCTTTACCAGTCTACCCAAACAGCTGGGCAGGAAGGGCCAGAGAGACATGCAGACAGCAAGACACATGCTGCCCAGGCTACTCTCTTCCCGGGGGAGCTTTTGCATTCTCCTTCAGGACTGTCCTGATACAGAGTGGGGAGGGCAGCAGTTCCCTTCTGGCCTTAGATCCTGGCCCAAAGCACAGTCCCTGGGCTGGTAGTGATGCCCCTGACTTCTTTGCTGTTGGCAAACTCAAGTTCAGGAATTGTCAGTCTTTAGAAACTTTTAGGGCAAATGGACAGAGCAATTTTATGTCTCTCGAATCTAATAACAGAAGTCTATGTCTTCATTTCACTTTTCTAATATTTCATTTTTATGACAGATAGGAAACTGAAACAAATTTAAAAAGGCAACCCTGGTCCTTCACCTCAGATGGTTTGAGAATCACTGGTCTGCGGCACTGCACAGTGGCCATGGCAGGGAGTGCTGGGTGGCCAGCAGCAGCTCCAGGTTTAATTTAGAACCAAGCCCACTTACAACATGTGAACTGAACCTGGAAACCTGCCTAGTTTCCAGCAAGACCAGGCTCAGGAACCACTTGCTGAAGGTCCCATGAGCAGAAAAAGGCTGTGTTCCTGTGATTTTCCCATTTCCCAGCTTGCCCTTCAAACCCCCATGAGAGCCACAAAATTATTACTTATTACACTACTTTTTAACAATGTTTATTTATTTTATTTATTTATTTTTTGAGACAGGGTTTCACTTTGTTGCCCAGGTTAGAGCACAGTGGTGCAGTCTCGGCTCACTGCAGCCTTGGCCTCCCCGACTCAGGCCATACTCCCACCTCAGCCTCCCTGGTAGCTGGGACTACAGGCACGTGCCACCACGCCTGGCTAATTTTTGTAGTTTTTTTAGAGACAGCATTTCACCATGTTGCCCAGGCTGGTTCAAACTCCTGGGCCCAAGTGATACATCCACCACCTTGGCCTCTCCAAGTGCTGGGATTACAGGTGTGAGCCACTGTGCCTGGCCTATTAGACTACTTTGCACCTCAGCAAAAAAACAGTTCCAAATCCTTTTCCACCAAAAAAAAGCCCTGAAATTTTAGGACTAGATTCTTATCCTCTAGTGTTTCTTTGCACATTGGCCCATGAAGAGCACTAACTGAAATAATGACTCGGGCTGATTTTTAGATGGGGCTCCAGCTTACTACTTGTGTGCTACTCCCTCCTCCTCTTCTCACTGGGCAGGCACTCACTCGGGAGTGTTTGAAGGATGGAATTTGCATGAAGATATGCTGACACTGGCTGTCCAGGATGCCCGCAGGCTTTAGACGGTGATGTTTGACACCATCCGCTCCCATCATTAATATTGTACAGTCGTATCTGAAGATAGCTCGAGTGTGGAATGCAGGTTGTCAACCTGGCCACGCTTATTTTTCATTTATTGTCTGTTTTGCCTCCCACTAGACTGTAAGTTTTATGGAAACAGAAATCCATCTTCCTTTGCCTCACTGCCCTTGAGCAATGCCTGAAAACATCAGGCATTGGGTGTTTAGTAAACAAATACCCAGGATGAGAAAAGATGATGACTTTGCTTAGTAATGGAGATACTCCCTTTCTCTCTCAAGTTACGTGAAGCCCTGTTTTCACTGGGCATGCTGCATTCAGCCAAGAGACCACATTCCTCAATCTCTGTCTCTTCCAGGGAGATGTGGCCACAGGACTCGGTTCTGACCAAGGAGCTGAGATTTGATGGCTGGAGCCTCAACACCATTCTGGACTCTGAGTGGGGAACCATACCTAGGAATGGCTGGGTGGAAGGCCTGATTGAGGCTGGGTCCCTGATGACTGAGGGGCCAACACACCAGCCCTGGACTGCCAGCCTCCAGGTCTCCTAGGTGATCTATCTTAGGTAAGCCTGGGATTTGTGGGTGTTCTGGTCACTGGTGGCTGAACTAAGTCCTAACCCATATTGTGACCTGACTGCCATTTAGTCACCCTGACAGGCAGTCTGCAGGCTGAGCCTAAATCCTTTGAACTGCACCCTGGACCCACTTCTTGGTCTGAGCTCTAAAAATACAGAGCTCTGAAAACATACAGCAGGTCTTGCATAGTTCTTCATTGAAAATTTATTTGCTTATTTCCAAGAAGCTATTTCCATATTTATCTTTGCATTTTCCTTCCTCCCTGATGACCTAACACTCAGCCACCTCTCCCTCTCCCTGGCTCCTTTCTCAGCCCTGTTCATAACAGCAAGGGTTTTTTTTTTTTTTTTCTTTATATGTATCAATCTTTTATTCCAGGTTTTGAGATAATGCTGTTATAAACTGGTTACAAAAAATATATAAAATCAGCTATCTTCCTAATTCCTAAGAGAAGAACAGGAAAATCCTAAATTATTGCACTTTCCCCCGTAGACTCGAGAGAGGGAATCATAGGGTACTGTAGGAGGTAGGGCATTACAGGAAAGTACCGAGAGAGAGAAATGAAGATATTAAGATTAACGCTCTCAAATAATTTGGGATGAAAGACCGGACTTCAAAAACTATGCCCTTAAGCTCTTGCATAATTTATGAAAAGTTTGAAGGTTACACAACCGCCTAGACTTGTATTTTAAAAGGGAAAGAGGGAAAGGGAAAGGGAGGAAAGTGAGAGGGAGGGAGAGGGGGAGACCCAGAGTGAACAAGCAATTGCAAAAGGCATTCACTTCCAGCCAGTGAGGGCTGGCTCGAATATGCTGCAGAGCCAGGTTTGCTGCTGGGAGCCTCTGCCTCAGCAGATGATGTGGATAACGTCTCCCAAACAACTAAAGAAAGCAATTCAAAAGGATCACCTCATATGGCCACCTCACGATTAAATAGTGGTTATTTTGGGAGTGGATACCTTCTAGAACTTTCACTACTGCTTTCATCACATATATTAATGCAACTATTTTTCCCAGCTGCCTGTATTTTATAAGATCTTGATCTCCCCAACTATGATTCTGCCACTATAGATAAGTACTTTGATGGACTGTAAACCCCTAGTGTGACCATATAACAAATTGTTGCAAAATGTATCCATCTGTATTCCTGAGAACACTGTGATAGCTGTGCTTCTTGGCGACCAGAAATGAGATTCCTGCTTCATAGGACTGGTCATGTGTGTCTGCAATATTTGGCAAAATTCTGAAGGCTTCCCACATGCAACTGAATTACTGGTGACAGTATATCCTTCCACTTTTCTGCTGCCATGTGGGAAGAATTTGGATTTTTCCCTGAATGCAACCATTTTGTTCATGGCCTGGGCTAGTTTTTAGGACATGGCTATGAAGCAAATTCTAGCACTTTAAGGTAACACAACAGAGCCTCTGCCTTCAGCAAAGGTTTCATACCGTCTGTGTGGCTGTTGGTGTCCTCTAATTGATCTAAGCTCTAATTTATTCTACGAATGCCCTAAGAATCCTCCTGCCCTTCCTTGGACTACCTTTTTAAGGGAAGGGCAAAAGAGGTAAGTACTGTATTCATTCACATAATATTCACATGCACTGTTATAACTGCATAGCCCAGAATTATGCATGAGAAGAGACAGAATAAGGTGTCAGGCCCTAGGCATTCCAACTGTTTCCAATCTTGGGAAAATAAAGAAGACGAGCACATCATTCAAATCCACCCCAGTTCCTACAGCCTTTTCTCCTAGCTCTTTTCCAACTCTACCACATTTGTAGACATCTTCTCAACTCAATGTGCTTCAAAGACTGGCTGGACTCAGATCATCCTCAATCCCTCTGTCAGCAAGGGACAGCAGCCACTCTGGCACCCAAAATGAGTAACACAGCTGTGCTCTCTTAGAAAGCTGACACTGAGTGTGAATGCAGGACTCTGGCCCTCTGCACTGTCGTTCTTCAACTGCCAGGCAGAGACAGCAAGCCTTGTGAATAATCATTTGCTTACATAAATGCAATAAACATTAATAATGATCACATTATCTAGTAATACAGCTTTCTCTCCAAGTTCAGATTCTCTAACATTTGCCCCTGAGTTTGAACCTCATTCCTAGAAGGCATCTGATTCCTGGTTTTTCCAGCTTTTTGTCTTCAGGGGAAGGAGGTAGCAGAAGGGGAAGAGTGGGAGAGGTAAGGTTGGTTTTCACTGCCTCAGCACAGGCTCCAGCCATCCTGGGCTCACACCACACAGCAGCTGTGGGCTCAGCCGCCGGAGGAAGGGATGCTGCTGGGCTTTGGATCAAGAACATTGTGCCCAAAGATCTTGCCAGGTTCATTCCAGGGACCAAATACACCCACACCACGATGAGACAAACATGCAGTCAGGGCCCATATCTTCTGCTTCAAGAAATTTAAGAGTAGTCCTTTTGGGGGGACAGGGAGAGTAAGAAAAGGTACTATATACATAAATAATAGGCATGCCTTCAGCAAGAAAGAAAGAGGAGAAGGGAGGGAGAATTAGTAAGTACTGTACATGGCCCTACTTGGAAAGGTTCATGTTTGTCCCGGTCATTAGCATTGGGGTCTGAGATGAGATGTAGGTAAACTGACAAACAGGGCAAATGTAGGGGGTGGATGAGGCCCTCTCTTGTCCAACCAAATTGCAGTATAGTTCGAAAATTAATAAGTTACTATAATTGATGCTTTTCATGAAAATCTGAGTCTAGTAACATCTTTCCTATCCCCAGCATTTTAGTAGACCTCGACTCATATCAAAAGCTGTTACAGTAAGGTGTTTAAGATCCACCTCGATCCACAGGCCACTGTGCCACGGATCTGCTATGTGGCCTTGGGCAAGTGA